TGATGAATTAAAGAGCAGAGATTTCCAAATAAGACGTTGAGCACATTACCAGTGCAAGTCAGCTGACACTAAACAGATTAACAAGGTAGGGATAAAGAATAGGATGCTGGGAGAGTATTTGGCATATTTTAACCATTCACCATGAAATTTCCTGGAAAGGAATTGTATTTTAATATTTTTTTTTCAGGCTGCAAACCAATGTTTGTACTGCAGTTTTTCATGACACTTGATTTTAAGGGAAAAAAAATATTGTGTATTTTTTCTTTGTGGCACACCTATAAGTTTCCTGAATTACCAGTTCCTATTCTTGCTATCTAGGTACTGAAATGTTGAGACAGAGAAAGGGTAAACTAATCTGTGAACTACTTCATTTCATTTCTAGCTATTGGATTTGTAGATTACCCACAAACAACATTTTCAGAATTATTACCATGTCTGATTTTCCTGAAATCTGCATCTTACCAAGTTAGAAAACCTCCAGGAAAAGGCCTTTAACTCCTCACGAGGTAACAGACAACTGCATCCAAAGTAATCAATAAAAAAATAATTCTGGAGTTAGTTTAATAGATTACTGATTTGCTGTTTAATAATTCTTGCAGATCCAAGCTGTTCTGTAAGGGCACTAATGCATGTATTGCCTCTCCTGTTAGCCCATGATCTTTAACAAAATGTTAATGTATCCTCCAAGTGTGGTAATTTGCAGAGGCAAAGGCTTCATATTTTTCTTTCTCCTGTCACACTGTGCTGATGCAGAAGTTGCATTTGTGGTCACACCATTCCAAAATCTTCCACCTAAAACCAGCTGTTGTGCTCAAATCTGGCCTGCAAAATGCATCACCTCTTACAGTGTATCCCAAAGAGGCAGGGGCATGTATATGCTTGCTAGTGCTCACTGTAACATTATCAGAATACCAGATTTCCTGAGAGGCCAAGCATTTCTTTGGAAGAGGCCGCTCCTCCCACCAAAGTGTACACAAATGTAGATAAGATTACAGAAATCACGTCAGAGTTACCCAACAGAAACCAACGCTTCAGCTTTGTGTTTTGTGCAGGATCTGCAGTTCTCACACCGAGCTGTCATCAAAAAGTGTCTCCTCTGACTGATGATGGACAAATAACAACATCTGACAGGAAGCACAGCTTGATACTGGTTTTGCCTTCAGCTGCATCAACTGGTACCAGGTTGAAGCGAGGGATGTTAAAATAAGTGAAGGAGGGTAATGCACAAAGCACCTGCAGTCGTTTGTCACAGGCATCAGGCAGAATACTCTCACAGCAAAGGATTTGTCATCCTGGCTGCTCAATTATTTATGCATCCGCAGACAAATGATATTTAGACACATAAAAAATAAAGCTTTAAAATTCAGTGCTTTGGTTTCTTGTAGGGGAGGAAGTGGGGAGAACTCGTAATGGATTTTGAGGCCTGAAGGATCAAATGATTTGAGATACAGGTTGCATAAGCAAAGATCATTTAGCCATAGTCAACTAATGTTTACAGACGGGACATTTTCAGTACTGTTTGGTGGTGTTTGAGAACCAGCAGGAAAAAGCTGTTTGTCTCTGAAAAATCTGGCCCCAGCTGAGTTGTGTAAACTACTGAAAACCTACTGACAGACAGAGTATCTACATCTAACCTCAGAGAGATCCAGGGAACCTGGAGTAGGGGTCTCAATTCTCTGCGTAGACCATAGGTATCTCCTGAGATGTCCTCATTTATAAACGTGGATAGTTACACTGGCCTGATGTGCAGAATCATAGAATGCTTAAGGTTGGAATCCTTAAGCTTCTCATTTTCTTCCATGTATCCTGTTCTGTCTGTGGCCTGTGTGCAAGCAGAAGCATTATTATGTCATTACACAGCCTTCTTCCAAGCTTTCTCATACGCGGACAAACTTGCACCATGAAAGGACTGTAATGTTGAAAACTTAAAAAAAAAAAAGATGCTCTAAGTTCAGGATTAAACCTGACCTGAATAAACCTCAATGACTTGCTGTATGGAGGGAGCAGGGTGGAAGGCAGAAAATTTATCCAGAAATTCCTCCAGAAGGCAGAATCAATTTCTCCAGAGATCTGACAAGATCACATTTCCTTTTATTTGATTTCCCAACGTAAACATTTTTAATGTGATAAACTCAGGTGGTGGTAAATGATTTGTTTTGTCCAGGTTTTCCAGAAATCCAACCTCTAGACACATGTGTCTTCCATAGTATATTCCTTGGTTATCTATGTAAGAGATTTCAGCAGGATTTCCATGCTCTCTGACCACCTCACAGAGTTTTAAGTAACTGATCAAAAGGGGCCATCACAACCCGGTGAATTCTGCCCACATGCTTTCTTGCTCACGGAATGTTAATGGAATTCATGGAATGAAGCTCATGGCAGTTTAAACTCTACAAGGAAGAGAAGCAGTAGGTCCTAAGACTAGCCCAATGTTTGAAGCAGGGCTTTGCTCTTTCACAGTGCTGCCCTTTGCTTCCCAGCTCCAGTATTTCCCCTGAAGCTCTGTTGCAGAGGGTATAAAAGGAAATTCCACCAGGAGGAGCACAGAGAATAAAACAAACAGAAAAAGATTAGTTTTTTTCATCTCTGTTTATCTACCTTTGCAGCTCCTGCACCCTTCCCTCAAATCTGAAGTTTAGTTTTTCTGTGTTAATGGTTAAAAAAGAACAAACCCAAACTCTTTGCAAAGATTCCAAGTGGATAAAAGAATTGTGAATCACTGAGCGAGGTTTCTGGTACTGCTTAGTGATCTGTAATGCTAGTGCACCTTTAAGAGAACAAAACATGCAGGATACTTAAGCATCGAAGCCTGGACTGCAGTAGTCTAGACAGCATGTGCATCCCATATCATATTGTCAGCATTATGGTGTAGGTGGAATTTGTACCACATTTCAGCTGAAAACCAAAAATTTTTTTTTGGGGGGGGGGGGGCTAATTTTGAGGTAATTTTATCTTCTAGATACTACTCTGAAAAGGTTTGAACATAAACTTGCACTTTCTCACCGAGGGGCATTCACTGTTCACAGAAAAGTACTGAGATGGGAGCACATCCTCCCACGAGAAAGCGCCTTGTGTGCAGTCATGGAAGGCTCCTGGAATGCTCCAAAAGAAACCTCCATTGCTAAACGGATCAAAAATCACACGCTCCAGTGTGTGGATCAAAAATACAGCTCCAGTGCCGGGAAAGCTGCAGTGAGCAGAAAGGAAAACCCTTGGAAGTGCAGGAGGTGCCTGCTGCAAGGGAACAAGGCTCCAAATCAGTGGTGTCTACTAATGTCTGTCCATTCCATCGGTGAGTGGAGACCAAGTGCAAACTCTGACCAGCCCAAGAAACACAGGAATTTATGGGCAAGTGCTTTTCCCAAAGAGGTATTTGCCTGCTGGGTTTTTTTTTTTTTTTTTTTTTTTTTTCCCTAGATATGTACATATATGTGAAGCTTTATAACCATTTAAAAGCATGCCTGTCACAACACAGTACTTCACAATCCAAGCCTGTCTAAGCAACAAATATTCACAAGAAATCATAATATATTGTTGAACATCAGTGATTTGCCTAGGAGCCAGAATAAAGTCCCCTATATTCCACAAGATAGCCGTGAAATCCTGAGTGATTTATGGTACTGAACACTTGGAAGTGAGTGGGTTTTTGGTATCTGCTGGTGACTTTGTAAATACCCACTTCCCAGGAGAAAACAGATTTTGGCCACAATAAACCCACAGCAACAGTGCCGTTCATCCCAGGCAGATCACTTGGCAGAGACTTGGCTCTTTATACGAGCAAGGTAAGCAGGGAGGGGAACAGCAAAGTGCACGGAGCGCTGACACACACAGGCAGTTATCCCTGTTGCTGATCCTGGCCCCAGCATTCCTGAGTGATTATCTGCAGCATACGTAACAGCTTAAGCGTATTTGCATTAGACTTAAATACCTTACAGTGGAGATAGAAAAGGGGAGCTAGGACTCTAGAAAGGCAACTCAAAACAGTGCATCCGTGCTCAGAGTAGATGGGTCAGAAAAGCAGGTTTTAAAGAAATATTTCTTCTTCCTCAGCACCTTCTTCCAGTGCTGCTGGATGTGCCACACGTCATGCTGCATTTCTATATGGCAAGGTAAGGGGCAGCAGTGCCAGTGCATGGGCTAGCAGAGAGCAGAGCACACTCAGACTGTGTGTTGGTGGGAGCTCTCCTTTTTGCCCCCTCACATGCACTGGTAAATAAACATTTGCCACGTGTAGGGAGGGAACCGTATCCCTTGTCATCTTGCTGGGGCACAGGGCTGCTCTGTTTGCAGAGCCTGGGCTCCGGGCGGCCCCGCAGGGAAGCAGGTAACCTTGCAAGCCATTTCCATGCGGTGGGAGCCCTCCGAGGAACAGGCAGGGATACGGCGCTGGGAAAATGAGTCAGCGTGATGATGGCAGGAAGAGGATGTCTGGTACAGACACAGAAATCCGTGCATCACCACTGCCAAGCGCCCTAGGTTGAACAGGCGACCATGGCTATTCACGGTGAGTGAATAATATGAGCACACGGTGCAGGATTTGAGGATTTGCAGGATTTGAACAATCTGTCTGGGGAGTCTGAGAAGAGAAGTCTCCGTTGAGAGCATCAGAAGGCTTGCAAGGGTTTGCTGCAGTGCAGCCCAGTTGTGCAAAAGAGAAGAGAGCTGGTTTTCCTGAAAGTGACACAAACCCCAAATTGAATCCCACTATAGAATACAAGGTATGTTTTCTGCCATATTAAGAGGGAATGTAGAATGCACCTGGGATTCTCAGATCACCTCTTCAGATTTACCTGTTTGGGAAGCAAATCTATAAAAGTGAACATTACATTTGTGAAATTTCCCAGACAATTATTTTTCTGAGCTATGTATCTGTGCAGTGATTTGTCCTGCCGTTGGTGGTTCAGGTCTACCCATTTTACATCATTAAACAGATAGCAGAAACATTTTGACCACAGGTCTGTACTGCTTTATTCCAACTGTGGTAGGTGTTGTTGTGAACCTTAATATATCGCCTGAAACCCTAAAAGGCAAAAGGTAGAAGCATTATTAGCAGAGACAAAATACCAACCCTTCTCCCAGCTGTGCTCCTCTGACCAAAATAATTATGCTCTAATAGACAAGTTAGTGGTGTGTAAATCTTCACACAAGGCACTGAAGGCAAAAAAAAAAAAATATATATATGTAATTTAGTTGGGCTCATACAGCTAAACAACAGCTATGTTATAGCAACATTATAAATTTCCCAAAAGCATTATGGGATAACATGAAATCATTCTTCTGCAAGAGAAGGATAAATAACACTTCCATTAGAAATATCTTCTCCTGTATTGGGCAGGCCAAACCAGTTATTAGTGCTAATGATCCAGACTCAGGAAAAGGAGGCAGCTGAAGAACACCCCAAAGAAGAGGCGTCCCACTCAGAGAGCCTTCTCTTTCTGTTTTCTTTCCGCATTCAGTTTCTTGCTGGCTCTCCAGGCCGGGAGCCCCGCGGCCGGGCTCCCGGGGAGCCTCCTCTCAGAGCAGCCTCCACACGTGCAGCGCCCAAGGCAGCAGGGAGAGGAGCGGAGAGGCGCCGGGGCGGCGCGCGCTGCTGGCGCCCGCGCCAGCGCGGCCGAAGCGTCCGTGGGCCCGGGGCTGCGCTTCCAGCGCGACGTAGCCGTTGATGATGCGGATACGGGGAGGAGGGTCCGTAGTGCTGCGGGGCAAACAGAGAGCAGAGCGGTCAGCACCATGCAAAGCTAGTGAGCCATGAGGCAGCAGGGCCCTCGTGGCCCGGAGAAGAGAAGGTTGAGAGGGGATCTGATCAGTATGTGTAAATATTTGAGGATGGAATGCAGGGAGGAAGGGGCCAAGCTCTTCTCCGTGGTGGCCAGTGACAGGACAAGGGGCAGTGGGTACAAGTTGAAACCCAGACAGCTCCATCCCCATGTGAGGAGGAACTTCTTCCCTGTGAGGACACACTGCAGCAAAATTAAAAGCAATCCCCCCTGCAAAATAGAAAGCAGAGTCATTTCTCTGCACCCACACCCCAGCTGCTACACACTGTTCTTGCTTCACTCTGCCAACTGCATGGAGCAAAAGTGCGTTGGGAATTTGAAGTCAATTAGTATCCTTTTTAAAAACACGAGCTATTCCATATTCCAAAACACCCGTGGGAGGGTTGTACATTGACTGGAGGAAAGCCAGCTGGCTGCACAGCAGCGTGTTACAGCTGACACCTACAGGCAGCACAGCCCACCATGAGGCTGTATTAAGTCACCTGAACTGGACCTTCCATGTATGGACTTACAGGAATAAAGTTATGTGTGTCCCAGGCCCAAGCCAAGCAACCCTGGCAGCGTCACCAACACACGGGCCCCAGAAGGAGGCATGTGAACCTGGAGAGGAGGCTCTGGTGGCCCGTCCTCCGGTGAGGGCAGCATCTCCGCAGGGCTGCGTGGCGCACGCCACGAGATGGGGCTGTGAGCACAGCCCGGTGCTGCTGCAGCCAGGACTGCAGGCACACCAGGGACACTCCTACAGATACACAGAACCGATCCTCCTGCTTTGCAAACGGCTCATCCCAGATGGAGCCAAGCACTCGGGCACTCGTAGCGTTCCCGCTCTGGAAAGGGCACAGCAGTCCCTGTATCCAGCACTGATACCTGTCCTTCCCCATGCTGGTCGTGCAGCACACCCACCTCGAGTAATTTATGGTCTTTGATATTAACGACTCGCCCCTAAAGCTTATTTCTGACCCAGGATCAATGTATTAGTGATCTATCAATCTAGAAAAGGATGGTTTGCATTGGCAAAGAAAGAAACAAAACATTACAAAGGAAGGAAGAAAAGGAGTTTGTTATCGAGCTCGCTGCTCCTGGCTGACTAAGCTGTCACCACTAGCAGAATTTTTCTGCTTTGCTTTTACTTCAGTATGGTCTAGCAGTATTTGTGCTCAAGTATGTTTCCCAAAAGTGCTTCCAGAAGCACTTCCTCCCATCTTCCCTGTGTTGATCGCAGGCACTGGTGCTGCAAGTGCATGTATATGTAATGCTACCCCGAGCTCCGCGAGCATGACTGCATGGGAAAAACCAAGCATGTCTCTGTGCAGCTGTGGCAGGAGGTTAAGATTACAGCGATTCCCAAAGCAGCTTGTAGCATTTCAGCCAGAGACTGTCAACAGAAGCTCCAACAACCGATTCACAAGCAATTGGTATCAATTACATTAACCGAAATGAAATGACGGTGTAAAATACAGAATTGGATGTAATCAGTGAATCCTTTATCTAGTTTTTGTGTAATTTGATCCTTTAGTTCAGTGACGCTTGAATTGTGGAAAATGGTTTCATACTTCCCACTTGCATTATACCTAATTCTCCACAAACATAACTGTTCTGGAAGAAACTAGGCCACCGTTGGCACTAGGCTCATGTCAATTTCAGCAAGAACTAGGCAGGGACCAGAGAGAAGGTAGGGCCAAATCCCACATACTCTGTGGGACTCTTAGGATTAATCAGCCTAAGTTCAAGTCCCAGTCAGCGTGACCAGCCCTGCTCCCTCCCCAGCCTTCGGATACCTTTCTTCAATGCGGACCCAGAGGTCATTAAACTGTCGCAGTCTTTGCTTCTTCTGCTGCTTCTTCTTCTTCTTCCTGTATTTTCTGTCCACCTTCTCCAGCAGGTCAGTGGTGTCGGGGAGCAGCAGGTGAGGCAGGAGCTCTTCCTCCTCCTTGCGCGGGTGCAAGGGCAGCGGGACCTCCTGGGACACGACGTAGGTGCCGTGTGCTGGCGAAGATGATGAGAAGGCGAGTAAGGTTTTGGGGGGTTTTCCACTGGAGGAAGGAAGGAACACAGACAGCGTTTGGTGTCTTGGTGTCTTGCATCAAACATACATCAACACAACAAACCAAAAAAATATATATATAGACATAAACATAAAAGCAAGCAATATATAACACGTATGAAATGTGTGCTGCTTGGCATGTTTGCTGCACTGTTACTCCTCTGCCTTGCATTCCTACCTCCTCTCCTCAAAATTCAATAGTCTAGTCAAAATGGAGAAAAAAGCTTTCGAAAAGAGCTAATCTGAAACTGTCCAAAGAACACTGGCTGCTGAAAGGTAGAAGAAAACTTGGGAAAAACACTGCATATTCTAGAAAGAATAAGCTAGAAAGAAATCACTGTGGAAGTCAGAGAAATGGCCTCCTGAAGAGCTCAGCTCAGCTCATTCCTTCCAGCAATTCCTGCCCAAAGCCAATTGATTTCTAGCGCGGGAGATTAAGACACACCAGTTGATGACCACTCTGATTCAACAGCTCCCACTGAAAGAGAAGCATGTCATGACCTGGTCCACAGACTGTAGGTCATGTTTTCAGACATGCATCTTGCAAATGGCCATCCTTGAAGGAAGTGGGTCATACATATGGCTCAATATACCATTTTGGGTCAATATACCTTTGGGCCATCTAGTCTGCAGGCTACCAGTAGCAGACTAGTTGTGGCAGTGTCTAATTTTGCCATCCTCTTATTTTCCTTCTGAAGAAGCCAGGTGGTGCAGAGTACCACACGCGTAGCCTTTATAAAATACCAGATAAGGGGACAAGCCTGAAATGTGACAGAACAGAGCTCAACATACTGGTATGGTACTAACTCTTCGTGTGAGCATTTATTGTCTTGGCACCCATTTGTAGAAGGACATAACTCTGTCCTGCCATTCAGACACACATCAGAGCACAAAATGGTGGCTTTAAAGAAAGTTATGTCAGGAAAATGTGTAGGTCCATGTGAGGGGAGGCTGAGGCTCTCCCACAATGCACAAATTAATTTCACTAATTAACAGCAAGTGAGGAGGCAGTACAGGAGCCAGCTTCCCAACTGCACAGATCCTGCGTTTAGAGACATCTGATTTAGTCTGGCAACGTAATCTGGCAGTTCAAGGTGGCTACAGCAAGAGAGGTACCGCAGTGAGACACGGTGAGGCTGTCTCCCTCGCAGGGCAGGTCTGAAAAGCCCAGGGGATTCAGTCACGTCACCACGATGGCCTGGCTGCACTGAGGGAGCAATCGGCCCCCTTTGATTCCTCAAGCTTCGTCTCATCATCCTTTGAGCAAGCAGCATCTCCCCATGCACATGCAACACAGAGGACGCAGTCCCCTTTCTCCTATCCAGTCTTGGCTTCCCCAACCCAAATTTCTCTCCTCCTCATTGTCTGAAATGATGTGATTCCCCTTCTCCACTTGTCTATAATACTCTTGAATAAATTTGCCCTCTGTATTTGACACAAGATGATTTTTAAAAATATTTCATTCAGGATACCAAGCACAGTTAAAATACCCAGGTCATCCATAGGTTACTTTACAGACACCAGTTTTCTGTAGTTGTAGACTGTTTTGGGTTGAAACTGAGGGAGTTTTTTTTTAAAAAAAGAACACAGATAATGTGCAAAAAGCATTGCTTCCATCAGTGCAAAACATTCCCAGAACTGTGGAGTGCATTTGCCTTCTGTTCTGAAGTCACACAAATTTTTCCCAGAAGGAGATCCTGGATCAGCACGGCTGCAGTTTTCAGGCTGCAGAGACTCCACAATGGATCTAAGAGCGAAAAGGGGAGGTTTTGGACTGGGACATGAGGGAGGAGATGGAAAACTTGGGTTATAGTTTCCATGTCCTTGATTTCCTTTCTCATTATCTTTCCCTCACTAGTGAAATTCCCACATTGCCGCTAGGTTAGGGATGCCCTGTTACCAAGCACACAGCAATCCCATAGCAGAGCTCGGCCTCTCTGTGTGCACAGTTAGGCCAGACCCAAAGCAGCACCTCCAGCCCTTGTTCTGATACATGAAAGCCTAGAGCACTTTTTAATGCTAGTAAAGACTCAAAAATAAGTTCCTCTCTAACACTTCATGCGGAGACCCTTCGAGCATCTGCAAGAGAAGCCATAAAGATGCAAAACTGCTTCCTCCTCCTCCAAGAGTGATGCTCTCTCCTTCAGCACAGCAGCCAGGATGGAAAGAGCCAGGAAGTGCCTTAATTACAGCTGTGATTATGTGAAGAATATTTGTGTGTGTGTATATATATACACACACATATATATATATACACATATATATACACACATATATATATACACACACACATAAATATACATAAAAATCCTAAAGTCAGGAACATTTAAAAGCCTCAAATAAGGCACTAGGAATTTGATTCAGTATGTGGTACTATATATAATTTATACTATATATTCCCTTGCACTCTGTCACGCTGGGCTGTCTGGTGTGACTCCAAGGCTACATGGCTCAGTAAGTCCTGTGCATAAGCATGGAGGGTTTCTTCTATATCAGACTACCTGCCCATTGGGTTAGGGGTTGTATGCTTGGGGATGAGTCTCAGCTAGACACGGTTCCAAGCTTAAGCATTCTGTGATTGTATGATTCTATGTACAGACTTGGTGATTTAAGTCAATGTTAGAAATAATGGCAAAAGCCTAGCCTGGGAGGATTTGAACCTCTTACTGTGAAAAAGGCAACAAAAATGGTGCAAGGAGACCACTGGTGCCTCTGGTGCAATCATAGTAGGAGAAAAATATTATATTATTTTATATTGCACTTGTAGGGAGCCCACGGAAGAGACCAAGGGCCTGCCTTGTGCCCCTACCACAACTTGTGTAGAATAAAAACTCATGCCTTTCTGTCTGAAAGTGTGGTTATATCCTAGGAGGTGACAAACAGAAATGTAAGCAGTTAGGACAGCATGCTCAGTACAGAGGATAAAAGGGAATCATTACAGTAACTGAGGTGAAATATCTTCTTTTCTCCCCTCTATGGTCTTCCCTGCGGGAAGAATGAGGGTATCTGAGAGACGCAAGAACATACGACTGACAAGAGCCTGGCAACGGAGGAGACAAGAAATGCAGCCTAAACTGGTCACAAGAAGTCCAGCAATTTGGGATTCAATAGGAGATGCAATTCTAGGTAGGGTGCAAAAGGTGAGAAAATTTGGAATATCCCACAGATATTCCAAATACAGATAAGTGCATCCAGTGAGACAGAAACACTAAGGGAATATCTTGAAGGACCACTGCAAAATGAACCAGAATGGATTTTTTAACGACTTAGAAATGTAGAGGAAAGCAGGGTCTGTAGGAATGCTCCACGATTCTGCTGGATGGGCTCTGAACAGACAGATTACAGGCTAATAGAAAGCAATCAGAAAGGAACAAATTCAGCAGGGCTGGTGAAGGACAGAGCTTAAGGGCACTCTATGACTGTTAAATAATTTTAACTGATCCCCCCAAAACAAATAATATCCACTAATGGAAGAGCAAAGCCAACTCCTGGCTAGGAGAGAGGGAATCCAGTGCCCTGTTAGGTGTATCTCAAACTGCCCCTATTTCTTCACGTCTTTTACAAACCCAGCCTCCCACTGTCTGCTCAGCTACCGCAAAAGCATGCATTACTTGTTGATGGCTTGTCCAGCTGGAGTGTGCTCTACCTCGTACCCTTCTCTCCTCAAAACATCAATCACTGTGTTGTTGCCCATGAAGTGACCTGCAGTTAAGAGAAAAATGAAATCAGAACCCAAGGAGCAAAAGGAGAGAGAAAGAGCAGAGCAACCACATCCTTCCTCATCACAGGTTGCACCGTATCCCTAGCGAGTGGCAGCTGTATTTCTCCCAGGCTGTTTTAGTTATCACGTTGTGCCTTTCTTAAATGTAGATGTGATCGGAATTAGTGTCCTTCACCCCGCTCCCGTGGATTGTTGATGCATTCCCAAGCCACTATTGCTCTTTTGGGGTGCCTAAGGGATGCAGTCACCATCAGAGATGTGCCCAGGAGTAGCACTTGTCCACAAACAGTGATGGTGCAAGTCAGGCCAGAATCCGGGCATGATATCTGCATCAGTTTAAGATCCTCTGGCACCACAGAGGCACTAATCAGCATGCCAGTCAACATCATCAGCAATCCTTAAGTGATTAAGAATCATCCAACTGCAGCAAGGAAAAAGCAGTGCTCAACACCGATGACTTAAATTGGCCCTTTTCATTCTCTCAGCGTAAGCCATGAGGGACAGAAATTACGCTTCATTTACAGCAAGTGGAGTTTGGGAAGTGCTTAGCCAGGCCTGGCCAGTTTTGTGATTTATGGCTCCATTCCATTTTCAGACAGATGTGAAGCTTGATCAGCCTGTAATTTGGCATCATAATTAATAAATGATTATTCAAAAGGGTGTAAGAATTCTAAAGGACTTTATGCCCTACAAGCTAACTGCCTCTGACAATTACTCCAACACCTCATTACACAAGTCTACTGAAAAGCAGTAGGACACAGGCTTGCCGCAGGCCCTTGTAAGTTTAGTTTTCTGGAAAAAAAATGATTCATTTCACAGCCTACCTCGCATTAAAACTAGTTGTGAGCAAATGATTTAATAGAGGGCTCTTTTCCCCCTGCATATGTAGACAGTACTGAAATTGGTAAACAATTCCAGAAAACTTGCTGCTGCTAATATTCTGCATAAATATATGGAAATAAACCCACCAGAATGACCCTTATGAACAGGGAAAGCAAGAAGAAAAGAAGGGGAGGTCCAGCAACGGCCATATTAACCATCAAAAGATTAAAACCAAGGTACTTTTAAGACCAAAATGGGTTTGACGATTTGAAGTAACAGCTCACAAGCTCTCAGGCCACAATAGCAAAGGTCTTATGAGTGATGGGCAAGATCTTTGGATGGTATCTTTGAGCACAGACAGATGAAGTTTTGGAAGTTTCAGTTTGCCTTAAAACCCAAACACCTCTAGCACGGAAAATGCCCTATAACCAGACAAAGCAGTGCACACCACAAAGGTACCATATTTAATTACATAATTGCTGTATCTTTCTCCTCCTCCTCCTCAGCGTGGTGTTTGTCTTTGGAAAGTTGCGGCCATTATTTGCATCTAACCTAATACTGTAATTAAGCCTTTTAACCTATTAAGCTGAAAGGTCAGTTCCAGCTAAATAAGGCACCAGATCTAGCTGCCTCACTCAGCTGTAAAGCACAGGGGAGCAAAAAGAGAGAAGACTCATTCACCTAACAGGCATCGAGCACCACCAGACTCCTTGGGAGCTGGCACTTCCAAAGAGTGAATCATCCTCTGCTAAGAGAGCTTGAGGTGGGAAACGCACTTCAGGAGCTTAGGGAAGCACCTCTCTCTCGATAATGATATAGATAGTGCATACAGCAAGTTCATACTAGATACCTGTCTCGTACAGGCAGCAGCAGATGAGCTGAATCCCATCCACAGCAATGAAAAATAGTGCCAAGGAGCTCCACACTTTTTATTTCCCAAAACCAAGTCCTTCAGGAATACGGATAGAAAGCATAAAGATAGCCAATCTGTAAGAATAAGCAATATACAGCCTTAAAATAGCCTTCCTTGTGGCAATTTAAAAGCTTAAGGTCTCACAGGTTTCACTGGTGAGCTACTGAAAAACCAGTCACAGCTGTTCCCTGCTTGAACTTCAGTTTTCCTTGCTCGGGGTTATCATTTAGACTGATACTCAGGTTAGCACATGCATGAATCCCATTACATTGGGACCTTAATCTTCTGTTTTAATCTGATGGAGCGATAAGAATAACATCACTGTCATTCACACATGCCTTTGCATGGAGCTTCTGCTCATTTTTTATGTGCACGCACCAGAAACAAAAAGGTGTCATAATGTCCTTGCCTCAAAGAAACCAGGATGAATGGACATATATGTAAAATATATGTGTGTACAAATACATATGGGCATGTGTTATTAGATTTTTCACAAGAGATGATCGGTAGCAACAGCTTAGGCCAGACTCATAAATGGATTATAAGATGTGTTTTACTCTCCTGAAGGCAGACATGGCACACATTCAGTTAGAAAAACCTGGTATGAGCCCTAGAGGCCTTAAAGGCTTAACGTAAGTGTAAAATTAAGAGAAAAAAAGAAAAAAAGACAGAAAGGGGGGGAGTTACAGCACAGGTTCCCAAATTTTCTGGGAACAAATCCACTATGGGCCCTGACATCAAAAGGACTTGGTGTTGAGTGAGAGACCTGGCTACTCGCTCACTAAAACCTGTAAAAAAAAATAAAAAAAGCATGAGGAAGAGGTTCACTTTTCAAGGTTTAAGATGAAGCAGCCATGCCATAGGCATAACAACTCCTCCTGGCTACTGTGAGCTTGGACACGGGTCCCTGTGCAGAGACGTTCGCTCCAGACCTCCTTGGGGGCAGCACCTCGTTTTGCAGAGCACAGGCTATCGCTGCTGCAAAAACTGCCATGAGTTCTGCTTCTCCTGCTTGTTGATTTCATTGCCAGTGCTCACAGATGTGTTTGCATCTGGATAATTATGCTAAGAACGGCTTTTTGCAGAGACTTTTGAACCCAGATTTGAGCCATCACGAGGCCTCAAATTATGTGAATCTAGCCAAATGAGCATGGAAACACTACACAGCACTAGTGCTTTCTGTCTCTGTTCCAGAAATTCTACTTTCATATAAAGACAGACTGTAAAACTAAAGAAAGCCATGTTGCTCTCTGAATTTCAGTAAAATACACAATTTCAAGCTGTTACACAGATTTCCTTGACCCCTTTCTCTTAAGAGTATGTAAAAAGAAAGCCTCAGAGCCAATACATTTCTGTGTGTCTGCTGTTTTTTTCCTTAGTAGGAAGACCATACTTCCCTTGTGCCCCACATACAAGCCAGGAAATCACTATTTACAAATACCCCAAGACAACCAGATCGCAGGACATGCATGTAAAGAAATAAAAATGTTTGCTAGGAAACCTGAGCCAGGCTGTTTTTGTCCAAGAAGCGGTGGGAATGGCTGCAGCACGTGATGGCAACAGCGACCACAAAGTGGTGCAAGTGGTTCAAGCCGCTGCGGACATCCCAAGGCAGGATGTTGATTCCCCCCGACGGGACTAGATGTGCTCAAATGTGCTCTCTCCATGCCAGAGACTCTGTGGCTCACTAAAGAAGATCCCTTGAAGAGTATTTTAGACTTTGTTTACGGTTAAGGTTTTAGGATTGTTCTAGAAGCTCCCTGGAAATGTTTGTAGGGAGGATCACCAGTGATCATTCTTTCTAGAAGGCTTCCAAGAATTAAGTAGATAAATTCATATAAAATGTCCCAAAAAGGTGAACAGAACACATCAGTGACTGGATTAAAGGTTTTGGCCTGTAAAAGAAGCAAGCTGTGAGGCTGCTGACTCACATCCCACAGATGAACAGGAAAGAGAAGCTTCAGGAAAAGAGCAGCACACAGCTGTGGCACCCAAAGGACGCAGCTTGTTCATCCTCCTCTATGCACCTCCCATCCCACGGTTCTACTCCTACCCTTTCAGTAAAGAGGTATCATCCAACAGCAGTCCAGCAGCAATAAATCCATGGAAAAGGCTCCCAAACTACCTCGGTGTGCTGTCTAAAAGCACTTCCATTGGATGGAAACCAAACTGTAAAACTAATATCCTTCTGCTACAGATATTTCTGTCAAGTTGGTAATTCTGCTTAAGAGACAGACAAACTGACTCTAGTTGACATCAAGTACCTGACAAAATTAGAAGTTACTCCCTGACGATGAGGTTTTAGGACACAGCAATGGAGCAGGAAGGCTCAGTAAGGACCCCTGCTCCTGGAGAGGCAAAACCCTCATAACAACAAAGTGCCCCCACAGACAGGGAACCTGCAGGGGAATTTTCTTCATCCAGCTCCGTGGGCTTTGATTCCCTGTACACACCCAGAAAGGGTGAAACTGAAGCAAGCTGGTGGAAATAATAGGATGCTGCTCTTCATCTTCAGATCTTCACTGGCATTAACCTTTTGGCACAAGGACATCTTAGGCAAAGACAATTTTACATATATCACAAAATGACCTGTCTCAGCTCACACAGAGGGCTAAGTGTGCAGAGCCCAACCAGGGCTTAAGGACAAAGCTTAGCAAACCATATTTGAAGCAGAGATACCAAACAGCAAGCACAGCAAGTTTTCGAGGAAGGTCTTTCTATCACAACATGGAAAAACTTACATAATAGTGCAGACAATAACCGTATAAAGTTACAATTTGCATGGCCCAAATACAGCTATTTTTCTTAGTGAAAGATACCCAGACACTCTTTCACCTACCAGATCTTGTTAAAAACTAGGCCTCCTAATGAGTGTATTTAGTTCCCTAGATTCCCATTTTTAACTTTAGGCAAAGTCAAGTCTCTTGACAGCTACAGAAATTCAAACTGCAAGAAATTTTTCCACTGATTATGAGCCCAAATTTGTACTGTAAGCAAAGTTCATATAATGAAAAAGAAGTTTACAACCCCACAGGATAATAATTTTGTAAAAACTGAGTTAACAGCTACTGTTGAGGCAGCCTTATGACCATGTCTCCATCCATGCTGGCACTTAATTGGTGTTTTCTGCTGTTGAAGTCAAGGAGATCCTCATGAGTGATTGTGTAACAGCCAGCATTATAGTATAAAGTAATGGAAAGAAACACTGTGCTATGTCACCTCTGCCGTCAGACCTGTTCTAAGCAC